ATATATATTTATTAATTATATTAGTTAATAAACTCTTTCGTTACGGTATGCTTTGAGACAAGTTATCACAGATGACCCCCGATAGGAGTCGGCCATACATATGGAGCTACTTTTGTATTAATGGTCGTTAGTAACGAAAGGGTTGTTAGTTATATAATATAATAAATGTATATTATATAATTATTATATAATTATATAACTATATATATATGTATACACGTGTAATCATATGCGGATATGTTCATAACCGATTAATTAATAATTGTATAAAAAGGAAAAAGAAGAATTATTTTTCAAAAATACTTGCGAGCGTATGCACGCACGCGACACATATATATATACATACATATATATATGTATATATATATATAGATTATTATTAAATAAGATGACGATATGACATCACGCGATTATGGTGAATATGATGACGACGATGGTGCCATGGTGGAAACAATAATAAAGGGACCGGATGATTGATAGCTTTGTTCGAAGGTCGGGGGTGCCCCTTTCTCATCATATTTTCAATCATTATTAATTCTGTCATAGTTAATCGACACCAAGCAAGCTAGCAAGCAAGCAAGAAATCATGCTAAGTGGTCGTGTACGTATATAGATAGAATATATTTAAGTAATAATAATTATAATAATATTAATATTAATAATAATAATAATAATAATAATAATAATAATAAAGTATGGGGTAGCCCACCCCCGGCCCCAAATGAAAAGATTTAATCAATTCTCATAAGAAAAAAGAACCGTAACTATCTTCTATCCGCACTGAAGTCAGCGCGCTTAAGTGCCACGGTATAAACACTAAAAACACAATGATAAATAATTTAGAAAAAAAATAATAATATTAAAAGAAATAAAAAAAAAAAAAGAAATGAGAGAAAATTAAACGAGACAAACAGAAGAAAAGAATAATTTTGAAAAGAAACGAAAATGATAGGGTAAAATTATAAAAACGAACACAAAATATATAAAAATAATACATTTACGTATTTACGTACACAACATACACACATAGGTACACATACATACACGTCGCTGGACTGACCGCCTGCCTGCCGCGTCTATCATTGGAATTTCACTGCCGATATTCCTAACTATTAATTAAGAGAAAGAAAAATAAAAGAAAAGATTTAAAAAAATAAAAAAAATAAAAAAAAAGAAAGAAAGGAAGAAAGAAGATGATGATCGGCGTCGCGTTGATTTAAACAAAAGAAAATGATACGCGCCGGCGAAGAGAAAATGTTAGTCTTATAGGTGTAGTTTACGTTAATATTATTAGTATATTATTAAAATAAAAAGAAATTAAAAAAAAAAAAGAAAAAAAAAAGGAAAAAACAAAATAAATAAACAAAGCCTATATTACAAGAACATTATAGGAAAACTCTCGTGAATGATAATAGAATATAAGGAATTTGAATAAAAGTAATGACGATGAGTGAAGGGGAAGGGAATGGAGAATCTGAATAATGATAGAAAGTAATCGTATGTGAAAGAAAGAAAAACAAAATAGAGAGATGATATATATATATATGAAAAGAAGGAAATAGGTCTGGTCTATGTGTTAAGAGAACGTGTACATGTTTGATTTTATGTTCACCATGCCTGCCAAACTGTCTGTTTGTCTACCAGTAGCTATTACTGTTACACTAGGAAATACTATAGCGTATACATATATTAACATGTTCGCGTTTATGTTTTATTTTTAGTGATTTCTTTCATCGGCTCTGCAGGGTGTGGTGCGACTGAATCTTTTTATTGTAATACCACTGAACTGCGCCTTCCTATGCACGCACTATAATATATATTTGATTTATATGTATACGTATGTATATATATATATTTAAATATGGTGTATAGATATACATATATATACATAGTAATCAAATAATACGTTAAAAAATTATGGAACAAGACAGATTGCTCATTACTTTTAACGTCGATCTCAATTGTAAATATTTAAATAGGACTCTTCTTTAATGTCTCATGTGTGATGATTTTATTCAAAGCAGCATTTTTCGTTATGCTCGTATAAAAAGATAAAGTTAAAAAAAAAAAAAAAAATAAATAATATCAATTTATATGTGTATACATATACTTATATGCATAGAAATATACAGGGTGGCCCAGTTTGTGTTCGAAAAATTGTATCAACTAATTCTATAAATAAAAAGAAAAAATATATATATATATATATATATATTTGTTTTATATAAACTTGTCTGTGTGAGATTTGTAAATGAATTTATTCAAAATTTATGTAACAAAAATATGAAACGACAATGGGACCGATTTTATCGTTCGATACAACATAGAAATAAATTGTTCGCTATTTTATTTAATATTTTTATTTGTAGAATATAATTATTGATGGTAAAGTTTTGCTGATAAAGAAAATTAACCTGGGACATTCTGTATATGTGTGTAAATATATATGTGTACGTGTATACGACGGTAATTGGATCGCGAAATGAAAATCAATTTTTCTTCATTATCGTAATAAAAAAAAAAAAAGCATCATGGCTGGAAGTGTGAAGAAAAGAAAAGAAAAGAAAAGAAAAAAAAAATAACGTAAAAGAATTTAATGACACAGTGACATTTCTGACATTTTTGTAATTTTCGTTTTCTTTTTTCTTAGATTTTTCTTTTTTATTTCATTTTTATGTTATTTTTTTTTTTTTTAAAAGCTGATCGCATCACAAAAATTGTTAAAAAAAAAAAAAAACGATTATTTAATATAACACGTGTTCTTATACAATTTCGTGTTTCATTTAAATTCAATTTTTGATTGGACTCGAATTGGTTTTTTTGTTGTTGTTGTTGTTGTTTTTGTTTATTTTGCTTCTTGGTTTTAATATAAAGCATCCACCCATTATTAAACGACAAGATACAAATATTCTCCACGATTTAAATAAAAGAATTATTTTGCTAAAAATTCATCCTACACATTACTAACACACACACAAATACAAAAACGCGCGCGCATAACATACATTTTACATACGTAAATAAATTTAAATTGTTGAGGAAACAAAATAAAACAAAAAATAATTAATAATAATAATAATTATAATTAAAATAATAATAATAATAATAAAAATAAACAAAAAAACAAAGTATTTTTTCCGCTCGTAACACACAACAAGAGAAATTATATGAATTCGTACCTAAGCACTTCTCTCTCTCTCTCTCTCTCTCTCTCTCTTAATTAAAAAAAAAAAAAAAATAAATAATAAATAAAATAAAAGAAAATAAAACTAAATAGGATCAACAAAAAAAGTTGTAGGGAGATTTTTAAGTGTTTAATCGATGCTGAATCAACGTGCATGCGTTTTTAGAAATCATGACACCGTTAGATATACGCATTTTAAAAGAAATAAAAATAATAACAAATAAAAAAAAAAAGAAAGAAACGCGAGACAAACGCGCGGTACACCGGCCAAATAAAAATAAAAAAAAAAAAATTCTTTTTAAAATAAATCGTCAACAAAATCGTGGACCTGAAAACGGTAGCAACAAAAAAGAAACAAAACAAAACAAAACAAATGTTATAAATGGAAATATAAAAAAGACGTATTTTAATTTGTATTTTCTAGCAAGAAGATTGTAATATGTACCAATCAAAAAAGAGATTTAAAAAAAAACTGATAAGAAGAAAAAAAAAATAATAATAATAATGAATAAACAAATAAATAAATAAATTAATTAATTATAAGAATAAAAAAAAAACAAACGTGTGTCGAGAAAGATGCAAAAAAGAAAAGAAGAAGAAGAAAAAGATGAAAAAAAAGAAAATTGTACAGAATTTGTCACGTCGTTTATCGTGGTATTTTTTTTATAAGTATACATCGAGAAATAATAAATAAATAAATAAATAACGAAAATAAATAATTATCGGGCATGTTAAAAAAAAGCAAACTTTGCGCAAGAATAATAATAAAAATATAAAATGATGATAATAATAATAATAATACAGCAGAAACAACAACAACAGAAATGAATTAAAAAAAAAAAAAACTGAAAAAAGTGCACGCTTCTTTAAAAAAAAAAAAAAAATAGAGGGGTTGTGTTCTTTTCTCTATCTCCCGAATGCATACATATGAAAGTGCAGTATTATTTGTGTATATGTAAAACTAAAGAAAAAGATACAACAAAATATTAATTAACAAACGAAAATGGTTGAATGAATGTGCCGGCCTAAATTCTCATCATCACGCTATATCTATTTAAAAAAAAAAAAAAAAAAAGAAGAAAAGAAAAAAAAGAGTACTTTTTATATCAACGTGCCGATGTCCTTATATCTGCACCATCCTCTGGAAGAAAAAAAGAAATCTTGTTAAATTGTGTAAACCCCCCAGCGACACTAACTCTTGTAGTTCTTCAGCGCCTCCCACCACACATTCACCATCACTTCCATACCATCTCACACACACGATTTTGCTTTGTAAAACATGTTCGTAATAAAAAAAAATCGATAAAAAAAAAGGAACAAAAAATGATAATAAAAAAAAATATTAAAAAAAGGAAAAAAAATATTAAACAACAAAGACAAAAATTACAAAGTGTTTTATCCGATGCGATTCAATTAATTTCCAATAGCCCATTAATACGTCCAAATATATCAATTTTATTTGATATAAATTAATGTAGTTAGTAAATTCGATTAATTTCATATATGATTTTGTTTCCTCTGAAATCTATTTTCATATTTGTTAGTTTATAAAATGAATGAAATTTATAAGAAAAACTAGATATCAAAGTGATACAAAGTTTATTTTATTATTTATATTAAGTGACAATTATTTATAATAATAATTAAAAACAAAATTGAATGAAATTCTTGGAATTTATAAAAATATTTTCGTAATTACCGCCACGAGTATATATTTAAAATTATCGATTGTATTGATCGAGTTTAGTTTGCGCAAGTATCGATAGGTGACGCATCAGGCGTCCATCATGGCAGTCAGTAGGAAATGCGTCTCTGCTCCGAGTAGTCGGTAGTGCCTTTGGTTTTTTTTTCTGTTATTCTTTTCAATTATTGTTTAATGCATTATGTTAATTTAAATTAATTATAATTTGTTATCTTTACGAGAAAATAACGTAAGAGTGAATGTGAAAAATGAACAATGCGAAAGTGAAAACTACAAGGTAAATTATAAGTATTGTTGGATAATACTTGTTGCATGCGGTGTTGCATGACAAGCTACTGCATTTGTTTACATAAATACATATTTTATATTTTAATAAATTCATTTCTCCTTACTGTAGACAAAATTGTAACTCGATAAATTTCTAAGTTAAATTAGCAGTCAGAAAATTATTATAAATGAAATTCTTCTATTATGGTTAACTTCCTTTGATGTTGCATAGTTGCTAGATTGTCATTCCACACGTCACAGAATGATTATTATAAATAATTATAACTAAATAGAGTAATTATTTTATTCGTTAAACTTATTTTTCAAAAGATAACCTATTCTTCTAATTTTTTGTAATAATTTGGAATAATGATTGTTTGTACAATTTCCAATGTTGTAATTGTCATTTTTTGTTTACAAAATTTGGTACAATATTAATAGGTGTTGTGTAGATAATATATATTTATATAATAAGTGTCCAAAGGGTTTATCAACCAAACTGTGTAATTACTAATAATAATTTTATTTTGATTTCCACTAATAGAATGTGGTTATGAAGTTTGATTGGTAAACCTCAGGATATTCTATATACATATGTAACTTGAAGTAATATTATTAATTAATTTTTATACATCTAACGTAGAGATTGTTCGGACCATTTTGGAGACCATGGAGGATATTTCGATGTTGCTATACGACCGATGTTACAACAGGGTCACGAAGGAGAGTTATGCGGTTGGTTAAAAGAAATGAGTTTGATTCGTACGGTTTCAAATTGTCCTCATTTAAATTGTAAAGGAAAAAGTTTAGTTTGGAATCCTGCCAGAATAGTAGATAAATATAACTGGACTTGTCCTCATTGTGCCAAAAAACAATCTATCAGAGAGGAGTCATTCTTTTTAGGAATTAAATGTGATTTAAAATTGTGTCTTCAATTGATATTTGGTTGGTGTCAACAGATTTCTTACGAAGATGCTGCTTCCTATCTCGGTTAGTATTTGATTTAATAATTATTGACAATTTAATAATAATGACAAATGTATTAAGAATTGTGTTAAAGTATTGTAATCTATTTACAGATATTAAAACTCATATAGTTAAGAAAGTATACGAAAGATGCGACGAAGTTTCAGAAACTTATGTTATGAGTCATCCGGAAGATTGGATGTTGGGGGATAAGAGTGCAATAGTTATCGTTGATGAATTTCCAGGGGGTTGTATGGTTAGAAATTATGTAGATACAAGTTCTAATAGAAAACGTAACAATAATTCTCATACTATAGTTTGTATAGTTGAAGCAAATACTATGCCACCACGTATGTGGTTGCACATGATAGAAGCAATACCAGAGGTAAAAGAATTAAAATGATGTATATTTGTATATTATTTTATATTAAATATTATATTTTTTATAGCCTATCAAAATGGAGAATAACAAAAAGGATGTTGGTAGATGTAATATGGTGAAAGAGGCCTTAAACGAAATAACACGTCACACGGTACCTGGAACTTGCATTATAGCTAATAGTAAAGCTCGTTGCTGCAGTTATGAATCGTTGTTAGAATTAAAGCAATATACAGTTATTAGTGTTGAACACTTACAAAAGTTCGATCCACCAGGAAAAACAAAACTTCTGGATAATTTAGGTAAATTTTGTTTCCTTTTTTTTTTATTATTTTCTATTCTTATTATTTTCTTATCTTTCCTCTTTCTTTTTCTTTTCCATTTTATTTGATAACACATCATAATGGAAAAATCTTATTGGTTATCGTCGTCTATTTATTTAAGAAACTATTTGGCAAACGGCTGTAGAAATATGCGAAGAAATTCAAGAGACTACGCATACGTTAGGTCAACATGTAATATCAAGGTATTTATGGAGACAAAGATTTGGTTCTTCTCCTTCAACAGCATTTCAACATATGTTAAATCATATTGCTGAATGTTTTCGATTTAAATGAATTCGAATGATCTTACAATTGTTTATCGAATCAATTATTTTTATATTATTAACGAAATAGCACAAAATATTGATTACGAAGTAGGATATATTTGACCAGAGGTAATATTTTTAAAAAAGGAAAAAATAGTTTTTTTTTTAACAATATTAAGGATATAGATATATTTTTGAAATTGTAAAAAAAAAAGGAAAAAAGAAAGAAACATATTATAGAGTAAGAATATTAACCGATGCTTCAACACTATATGAAGATAGTTACTCGTGAATTAATGATATATTTTATATAAAATGTTATTTTTATTAATAGTGCAAATTACTACCACAATCATCATAAATATACATACATAACATACACACACACACATATATATATATGGTACACGTCTTCCAATGAATTTTGGGATATTTTATATGTTGAAATGTATCTTTAAAACTATTGTTGAAATCTTATAGCTATATATCATTATACAAGATTTAAAAAAAAGAAAAAAAAAAAAGAATAATCTATTATTCTGATTAAGTTTTAGATTATATTTTTAAGTATGTAATTAATGTCCCAATGATATTTAATTATTTTGACTTGTCATATTATCATAGATACAAATGATAATTTGTACAGATTATTCTATTTGAAGACTGACGAAGTTAATGGTAATGGAATATTTCCAAATAATTGAATACGTTAATAATAATAATAATAATAATAATTTTCTTTTTTAATTGATCTATCCTTTTTTTTTTATTAATACTTGCGTGTATCGATAAAGAAAAGAAAAGAAAAGAACAAACAAACATTATAATATTATTTTCGTTTTTAATTCTACAAAATATCATTTCAATAAAGATATGAAGAAATATTCTAAGAAAAATATGAAAGAAAAGATATAGTTAGTGCAATCAGTGAATAATCAATGTTTAAAATATTATTGATAATTTCTTTCATTGATTTATTTTTAATATACAGAATGTCCAAAGAGTTTTTCCAATCAAACAATGTTGTTAAACGTTGTTGTTGCACAAACAAAAATAATGTTTTCTTATTTTCGTGCACAGAATGTACAAACATCGTTTGACCAAGAAAAACTACAGACATTCTATTTATATATTAATTCAATTTGGATCTGATAAAGTATTTTTTAACGAATATAATGTTTGTAGTATCGTATCCAAAGCATTTTACCAGTATTATAATCTATGTAATTGTAATTGTTCGAAGAAACAGCAAGATATGTTTTCTTTTAATCGTGAAAGAAATACTGAATTGAGTTATCGATGTAATAACTTGTAATACGTAACAATATTTTTATGATAGGAGAAAAAAGAAAATAAGAATGTAGAATTTATTATTGCTTCCTAATACATATTCTTATTGATTTATTAATATTCTATATGTAGTTTCAGTTTTGTTCTTTTTAATCAAATGATATGTTTAAAATCGTTTACACGCATAGAGAAAACTTCTGTTTTCGAATTTTTGTAAATAATAATTAAAATCTAACATCTTTTAATTCGTTAAAATGCGAGAAAGAATGGCAACTTCAAAGAAGATGAAGAAGAAGAGTGTATTATACATTGTACTTTTTTCGAAGAATTCATTAGAATTTTTTTACCAAAGTACATCGTTTTTTAGACTTGTATAATGATATTGAAAAAACGCTTAATACTTATTACTCAGTATATGTATTTTTTTAATAATTAAAAAAAAAAAAAAAAGAAGAGGTTAAGTGTTCTTATATAGAATAATAAGAAACTTTTGATATTTTTTTCTAATGTGAAATTTTTTAGCAATATCGTTATAAAGTATGTTTTTTCTAACTATATACAAACGAGTAAATTTAAGTATTAACGAAATGTATTAAAGAATTGTTAAGCACAATATAAGCACATAAATATATATATATATTATTCTTTATATTATAAATTGTAATTTGTGATAAAAATAAAAATATAATTATATATATATTATATTGTCAAGCAAGGGCTACTGCCTTGTTAAACAAACTATAATAGTTCCTGATCAATCACTGAGATGTTGATCTATGCTGGGCACTTTAGTATTTAGATGAAACACTTTATATTTTATAGACTTCAGGAAAGTATCAGGATTACAAAAAGATGGCTTCAAGGTATCTCAAACTCATAAAAAAGTAATTAAGATGACCTTATAATATATATATTGTTTTTTTTTCTTTCTTTTTTACATATAAGTACAAAAAATATCTATAAAGGTTTGCAAGTAATATAAAATGTTTGGAACAATATATATATATATAACTTATATAAATGTCATTGTAATAATAGTTATTGTTATTGATAAAAATGTTATTAACAAATAATATAAACAAATCAGGTACTTATTTCTTCGTTCATAAACTTGTCATAATCTCTTTGATCTTGCACCATCTTTTTAAAAACTTCGTACTTTCGTAAATGATATCTGTGATGGAGAATATATCAATTTTGTAATAATTTTAATCAACGACGAACATTTGTAAGAGAAAATACGCACTTGTAACATTCCAATTGAGGTTGAACAACTTTTGCATGACCTCCCATTGATTTTATAGCAGTTTCCATGGAAAGAAATTCTTTTGCTGCATATGATCCGAGAATAGCTGCTCCTATTAAAACAGATTCCTTTTCTGTAGGACAGAGCACGGGTAAAGCTAAAACATCTGCTTGAATTTGAACGAACAATGGGTTTTGACTAAGACCACCACATATTAATATACTTTCTATCTTGTAACCCGCAGTTACCAAAGTTTCCAAAATATATTTCGTTCCATACTGAAATAAGAATAATCATTATTTAAATACATATGTTTCAATTAAAGTATTTGTATATTAAATTGACATTATACCGTTAATGCTTGTATTGTAGCTAGATATAATATTGCTAAACTTTCTTCATCCACTGATAGAGACAAACCTGAAACCTGATTGAACACAAAATTTAGAACAAATGTTTAAATCGTTCTTTTAGTTATCAAACTCGTACCATTCCCTTTAACGTTGGATCAGCAAGTGGGGAACGGTTTCCATGAAAATCGGGCCAGACGTGAATACTTTTTGTTAAATAGGATACATTTCTAAGATTTCTTTTAAACGCCATAGTTTGCAATAACGTAGATAAATATTGTTGAATATGTCTGAAATAAATAATATAATTAGAAATGTATTCTAACATTAATAATTATAATATATTCAAAATTACTTATTATTTTCTAAAGATTTCAGAATTTTAGGAGTAGCAGGATGTGTATCGATCACATGATCAAGTAATTTTCCAGTTGCACTTTGACCACCTTCATGTAGCCATAAACCAGGAATCATAGCACTATAATAAGGTCCCCAAATACCGTTAACAAATATTTTATTCTCGTTTACAGCCATATGACATGTCGATGTACCACATATGAGTGCTAGAATTTTGTTCAAAATCTTTTTTGTATTAGAAATTTATAGATAAAGGTCTGAATCATTTAAATTAATATTTTACACACCTAATCGACTAGTTAATTCGTTAGATATACCAGGAGCAGAACAACCAATCATACCAAGTCCACCAGCATGTGCATCGATGAGAGATGTGCCTACTGCTGTTCCTTCTAACAGTCCTAATTCTAATGCTGCTTTTGCAGATAATCCTTTACCGACTGGTTCACCAGGAGCTTTTATCACTTTACCTTTAAAATATTTGTTAATAATAATATTGTATTACAAATTAGAAGATATCCTAGCTAATTAATAAATACCTAATTTACTCCAATGATTATCTTTGAGATCTTGTAAGCCAATTTGATTGAAAAAGTCTTCCTTCCAACCACAGTTATTTACACCAGGTTCAGCATAATAATTCCACTTGCAAACCAAAGAACACAAAGATCTATAAATATATATAAGCACACAAACGCACACACTTAAATAGAATTTTAATATTTTAATAAAGAGATAAAAATGATAATAATAATAATAATAATAATATCGTTACCTAGACTCGGAACCAGTTGCTTTCCAAGTTAGAAAATCAGGAAGATCGAAAAGCAATGTTGCACGATTCCAGGATGATGGTAAATTGTTTTTTAGCCAAAGCATTTTAGGTGTCTCCATTTCTAAAGAAACTTTGCCACCTACGTAACGAAGTATGTCGTGTCCAAGATTGTTAATAAGATCTGCTTCCTTCTGAGCTCTGTGATCCATCCAAAGTATAACATTTTGTTTATCTTTGCCTATACAAGTAAAAAATGTTATTAATAAATATTCATTTAATTTAGAATAATATTGTATTTTACCTGATGGACTAACGCTAACTGGTAATCCATTTTTGTCTATTGCTACTAAAGAACAAGTGGCATCAAATCCAATACCTTTAATATTATCAATCGGAGTACCTTCTATAACTGTCTATAAAATGAATACGTTGAATGAATAATAATCAAAATTATTAATAGAAATTATTTACCTTAACTACTTTACAAACAGCGTCCCAAATATTATCAGAAGATTGTTCATAAAAATCTTGCGCTGGATGAAATATCTCAAGAGGACATGTTGCTACTTTTATAATTTTCCCATTGGAAGATATTAATCCTGCTCTTGCACTTCCAGTTCCTACATCAACGCCGACAAAATAGTTCATCATTTTTACTTCCTCGAATGTCTGTACTTAAGAATATTTATTGTTCATTTATGAAAGCCAACTGAATGTTCTGTACAGAGAAGGGATCCATTATGAATTTTCAAAAAACAAAAAATGTGACTTATGGTTATCAGTTGAAAAGTTATATGTCTGTAATCCCAGATAATAATATCATATGACCCTGAGATAACGTTGAACTTAGCGAAAAATAATAGAATTAGAAAATTATAACAAATATAATGCAATGAATAATTACTAAAAGTACAAACTGAAATAGTTGAAATTATTGTTGATAATTTAAAATGAACAAATAATTAATATAAATTCATTGAAAATAATTGAACATATGTTGCAGATTAAAGAAATTACATGCTAATAATATAATTTATCAACAATTTTATATCATAGTTGAGAATTTTGATGTGAATAGTGTATTTTCGCATAACATAAATTAAATGTTATTAACTCACTGTCAGGATAAGATATGAGTGACGTTTATGTAATGCATAGAAACTGACATTTCTTGCAATATTACCTTGACTTTTCGTTCATTTACCACGTTCTTGAATAACGTTACTGTGTTAATATACTTTTTTTATTAACGTAATTTTTATTAATAATATATACATGTATTATTTCTTTTTAAAACAATTATTATTAATAATATTATAGTTAAGAAAAAAAATATTTAAAAAAAGGAATTCTAATAATTATTTCAATAATTATTCCAATGTAATACTTTTTATTATGAATTTCACTATCGTACGATGTTTTTTTTTTTCTTTATTAAGATAAAGCCACGTGTGCAATAACATGTGCGCTCAGTATCGACCTAAACATTTTAAGTAGTTGAGATGAAGTGCTATGGCAAGTCTCTCATATCTTGAAATAATATTTAACGATTTAAATCAAAAATTGATCATTATATTAAAATAATATAATATAATTGTGCGTGTTATTTATAAATTATATTTTAAAAGTATAAAAACGTGTAACATTTATAATGGTTCGGTTTAAACACAGGTAAATAAATGTATTTTATAGGTTAGGTTGATATACAAATATATATATATATATAATTCATTGGTTAGATTAATATATGAATTAGATTAACTATATTAATCTTTTGTTTATTTTTTTTTTATTTTAGGTATTTTGCAATTGAAATAGAAATAGTGAATAATAAAAACAAATCGCTCAAACCACCAGCATTGCTTAATGCAATTAAAAAAAAAATACAACAATTATATGGAGATTATGGATTGGCTGCAGCATCGATTGGATTCTTAAGTAATTCATTTAATAATCAAGATTATTAATTTATTATTCAAATTATTATTAGTCCTAAGTAAATGAAGAAGAAGAAGAAGAAGAATAATTTTAAATCATTTTCTTTTATTACAGCTAAATATTATAACTCATCTACAAAAATAGCATTCGTTAGAAGCAGGCATGGACCACATAGATTTGTATTAAATGCTCTTCCATTGATTAACGATATTGATAATCAAACTGTTAAAATAAATATTATTTATATCGGTGCAACTATAAAACATTGTTTCATTAATGTTAGAGTAAGTATTAATATTTAATTTTTAATTTGATTTTGAACACTTTATTTACCGACAATGATTAAACATTGCTAGTTTAAAACCTATTAATTGGCTGTTGATAAGTAATACATTAAATACTCATATGTGTTAAATTACTGTGAATATTATTTTTCTGTTTAGAGATATCAGCAGAAAAAGTTGGAAGAAGTATGGGGCTCTCTTAAAACCGATCAACAAAGAAAAGAAATGCTAAGGCATATGGATTCTACAATATCAGTGAAAGATTTTAACAAACAATACGTTAATAAGTAATATTTATTAATATAACAAAAAGAGAGAGACTGCTATTTATCAGGTCAGTTTTTTTTTATCAACATTTTTAATCAATATTATAAATAAATGATAAGTGTTATAACAATTAATAAAAAACCAACAGCACAATCGGTGATGGGTTAACAAACAGTTTAGATAGCGAACATTATCTTTGAAAGAATTAATTGCGTTTGTGAACTGGTCACTAACTATATTTTAAATATCAGTATTTATCTCGTATTAATACATAATCCTAACTCAATCAAAAATACTGTGATCGTCTATTTAAAATACTCATAAACTATTATATATACTAATCATTTATTTAACAAAATGTTGATTAGAAATTTTTTAAAACTACTGACTTAATAAATATAAATATATGTTTGTTATTATATAAAAAAAGAGCAAATGTGATTAATAATGTTCATTAATTAAATAATTATAGGTGAATAAAATTTCAAAAGTGGCGCCATTTTGGCGTTGCTTACGTCACGCTTAGAAACGTATGCCGCGAAATTCAAATTCGATGGGAGTAACCCCTCCTTTCTACGTACAGTGTTTGCTAGTGTCTATGGTGGGAGAAGGGGGTAGTAGGTAACCGTAGGGCTGGTTGCTGATCGCCGGCAGTCGTCGCTGCGGCGTTGCTGCAGTTTGTACATCGAATTGTTTTCGTCTTTATTAATTAAAAGACAAAGCACACGATACGAAATTAACTCGAATCTAATCGGTGGTAGTAGTGGTGCTTCCATATAATAAAATCAAATTAAATGAAAATCTAATAATAAGAAGAAAAAGATAACTAAATAAATAAATAAATAGATAGATAGATAGATAGTTAGATAAATAAAAGATTAGATTAACGTCAACTTATAATTGTCAGTTTAATTTTATACAAATTAAACAAAAATATATATATATATTTTCTATAGAAATAGAGGAATGTTCGAAACAGACCGTTTAATAAAATATATTTTTTTGTTTGAAAGAATAATAATTTGAAATCGTCCAATCCCCCCTATTGTACTTAAAGTTCGTGTTAGAGAGTGAATTCGAGTTTGATATTAGACAAGATAAAAAATATTTGAGATAAATCTGAATCATCGGCCATATGGATTAGGATAAGGAAAAAGGATATTTCACAGTAAGTTATATCTGATAATAAATTGTTGTTTTTCCTTTTTTTTTAATTATTATTATTATTTTTTTTTAATTATATATCTATCCTTTCTTTCTTTTTTTCCTAATGTTGTGTGTGTGTAGACTGTAGCTTATCGATTTCGTTCGTACGGGCTCGTCGTGCGAACGAACGTAATACATATATACTAATAATACATATATATATATATATATGTATGTAAAGTATATAAGGAACGAATGAATGGATGGATAGATAAATGGTTGTCTACTTTCCCTCTTTTCAGAGAATAAATTATCACCCCCTCCTCACCCTTAAAAAATCGATCGAACGTGTTTCTCTAACTGTCGAATCTTCGAATCATGGTAGGATAAATGATAATACATTTTCTTTTCCTTATTATTGTTATCATCGTTGTTTTTATTACTTCTCGACAAATTTTCGAACATATTCAAATATATTCTTCTTATTGTTATTGTTTTTGTTATTGTTCGAATGCGAGGGGGATGAACGAGGCAAACTTTTTTTGAATTTTGATATCAAAGCAGAGCCATTTTCCTATCGTTTTGAAGAAAACATGGCGCATATTTATAACCCTTTATTGGATTATTCAAAATTAATTATTTATGTGATTTTTTTTTTTTTTTTTATTTAACATAGTCGAAAGATTTTTGTAAGATGACATAAAAATGTTTTTGAATATCATTTTATTCTTCTTCTTCTTCTTCTTCTTCTGCTTCTTTTTTCTTTTACGAAGGTTGAGTTTTTGAAAAAGTTTTTTAAATGTATTTTGTTGTAAAAAAAAAAAAAAAAATATAGAAACCCCCACTCGTTCATTTTTGTTATTCAAAACTTTTCAATCTACCCACGTACTTATATGGAAATGAATTATTTTCTTTTTTTTTTTTTTTGTTTTTTTTTTTTGTCAAGACAAAAACGTTCGTTGTTATCATACAAAAGGAAATGCAAGAAGTTTATAGTTGACAGTAACATTTTGACACGCCTTCATTGTGTTATTGAAACTCGTGTATATATTTAAGTCCGATTATTCGTTATACGAACAAAATGATTTCGTAATTATGAGTTAGATCGTTCACTAATGTAGGATATATAATTTATGTAAGAAGATAGACTGTTCCATGATAATATATATATATATATATATATATATATATATAGTATGAAGGATTTAGGTCAATTGTTTGAGAGTATTTTTGTATTTTATTTATCGTGATATA